TAACAATGCGCAACCAACCAGAAAACATGCGCGTGGCTAGTGCCTTGGCCTCCAATTTTTCTTCCACCTACTAGTAATCAGCCATGTTGGATATAGTAACTGAATTAATTCGGTTACTGGCTGCAGCAATGGTTCACCGCTCTGCCACAATTTTTTTATTATATGCGTCCTCCTGATTACATATAGTAATCATCCATGGAAAATGTAGTAAAATATTAACTTGATTACCGTGTGCTTGTGATGGTTCATCACCTCAGCATAGTTTTGCTTTATTACTTGTCTGCGCCAATCACACATGGTAATCAACCATGTAAAGTATAGTAACATAATTTATTGGGTTACTGGTTGCACAAAAGCTACCATTTTATGTCAGAGAATTAAGGAGTGGTGTGTGGCATCTCGTAATAGATCTCGTAATAGATCTAGTCCGTTACCATATGTGCCAGTTCTTTTACCATGCATAATGGTACAAGATGTTGGGTGTAGTGCGGTTGCATGCAATCTCGTAAAGCTATTTGTTCCATTACCATATTTCTAACCTTTTTACTGTCATTAGCAAATAGAAACCCGCGGGGCGGAGGTCGGCGGTGGGAGTGGTAACTGAATTAAATCCATTTCTACAAGCGATATTACCATCAATTGCCGAAGCGTGTGGAGGTGGGGTTGATTAGTGTGACCCGAGCGTACGATTACCAGTTTTGCATTATAACTCGTAACTAGATAACCATAATGATCAATTTTATTACTGTGTGCATTGGCTGGGTCGATCAAATCTTGGACAATAGTAAAGGATATAACACCTTTACTAGAAAGTAAAAAGGGCATTACGATCAAACCTGTAGCACTAGTAGTACATAGTAAATGGCATACTCCCTCCCTCCTTTAAAGAGTGTACTTTCAACTTTGTTGGGTAGTCAAACTATCTCAAAGTTTGACTGGGTTTGTGCAAAAAAATATCAATATTTATGAAACCAAATAGGTATATGATGAAAATATATTTTATCATGAATCTAATGCTACTAATTTAATGGCGTAAATATTGATGTATTATTGTTGAAATATGGTCAAACATAAAAAAGTTTGACTTTCCAACAAAGGTGGAAGTACCCTCTTTAAAGGACGGAGGGAGTAGCACTTTACTACAAATGGGAGTAAGCATTACCGTCAAAATGGCACATAGTAAATGGCATAGCACTTTTACTACGGATAGTAGTAAGCATTACCATCAAATTAGGAAAGTGGTGGATGGTGTGCGTGGGTTGGCTGGCTTGGCAGGTTGCGTGATTAAGCCGGAGCGTAGAATAAACCATTATGCGCGCACGCGCAGTTTATATATATAACTCATCTTGGCACTATTGTTTGGCATCAAAATATGCACCTTTGTGCCAAATATGGGCACATTTTCATGAACAATGCCATGGATATGTGCATGACATGGGCATTTGGCTTGAAAGTCATGAATGTTCATACATGGTAGTCCATTTTTTGAAAGTTTTTTATGTCAAAATCCATTTATATCATTTTTCCTAACCACTAAGTACACATAAAACAACTCCATGTGAAAGTATAGCATTATATTTTTTTTCTTCATTTTTTTCATAATGGGGGTCAGTATCATCGGTGAAACTATTCATTGCAAGGGCCTAGATCTTTCAACACCATGTTTTTGTATCGCATAGAATCCTAGTTAGACACAGAAAAATGATTTTTTTGGAAAAATTGGACTACACTAGAACATACTTTTAGTTCAAATTTGAATTACTTTCGGAATATTGGCCAAAACTCATTTAAATGGGCGAAAATAGATAGAAAGCGAGAAAATTCTTAATAGTTGTGAATTGTCCATCTAATATAGTCTACTTTGTGTGAAAATTGGAGAGGCAGCATTTTTTGGAACTTAGAAAATATAAAAATATTTTTTGTAACAAAAAGTTAGAAACTTGTTTTGGCAATATTGTTTCAGATGGAAAGCTGCCCTCTATACAAAAAATGTGGCCACATTATCATGATCGATGCCATGGATATGGAATTAAACAAAATTGCCGAGAGCCAAACCGGGAGCACTCAACAGAGCTAACTGATCGCCTCCTTCCCGTCAACCACGATGGGCGGAACATGTGTCCCCCACCTTTGTTGAGTGTATTTCTTTTTATTTTACCTTTTTACTATTGTTTGTCAGAAAACACTTGGCAAAGATCTCCTTTGTTGAGTGCCATTTAAAAAGCACTCGACAAATGAGTTTTTCTGTAGTGAATGTGAAATATTCGATAATAACATTCCATGTATCAATATGACAGTATGTAACACCATCAATGTAACTGAGCACTAGAGACATGAAAGAATTAGTTTCTCTAGTGAACAAAGTAATCAAGACTTTTTATGAATCAACATAGCAAGAGGAAGCTTAACAATATAGTTTTTTCATATCTTAGATGGTGAGACGTACTATAGAAGATTAAGCTAGTACCGCATGTGGTGTTCATGCGGGGCAATGCTGGAGCTGAGATCATTTTCATTCAACGTAAAAATTTCTCTTTCTGTTATAACTCTTTAGCTACTTTTATCTCATCCCTTAATATCTCCACAATTCAATTTTTTGGGGGAAATTCAAAATATCTAAAGGTTTTACTAAGTTTACACAAAAATATACCAATATCCATGGAATCGAGTAGATTTATTATAAAAATAAATTTTATGATAAATGTAATACACTAATTTGGTGCCATAAATGTTAGTGTTTTCATATGATCTATGTGAAACTTACGATAGTTTGACTTTCAATTAAAGCTGGTTTGAGATGAATGGAGGAGAAGCTAAGGTTTGCATAATAATTTTGTTTCAAAAAATTATACATGTTAAGAGCGAGAGATAAAAGCTTAATAGTGTTCCTTATGGTGTTTGACTTATGCACTTCCTCTCCCACCACCCTTGGCACTAACTAATTCAATATTTTGACCAGGTTTTCGGGAAAATGCATGTACCAGAATGTAAAAGACAGAATCAGTTCCATTAGATAAATCATAAAAAATCATTAAAATTCAGTTTTGTTGCTCCAAATACATACCTTTTGTCCCATGATAGAACTTGGTCGTTGTTGTGCAGGTGGTGTTCAAGGTCGCCATTAGATATGAACTCAAAGACGAGGAAGAGTTCAACCTTGATAACCCTTTTCCACCAAGTCTTGCCATCGATCACTCTGACTTTGCCGCACCATCCTTTGAGGTCAACTAGATTCTCGTGCCTCGTGTTACCAACTGTCTGGAGCTCGCGATGGAATTCCTCAAGCTTTCCCTCTGCTTTAATTCTCTTCACGGCCACTTCCTGGCCCTTGAACGTCGCCTTATATACTGCTCCGAACATACCCTCTCCAAGAAGAGCATCTCTGGAGAATCTGTTCGTGGCGCAAGCTAGATCACTATAACTGAATTCCATAAAGCCATTCGCCCCTGACGAGAGGGAATTGCGTGCGCTTCTCCAGTAACACCATGTTGTAACGAGATACACAAGAACGCTTAGAACGGGTACAACTACTTTTACAATGTTAATTACTTTTGATGTCGTAACCCCAGGATCCCCTGAAAGAAATTAAGGAAGTATATTACTAAATAAAAGGTGCTCAGTTCAAGGTAAAAAAAGTTCTAGCAATTCCAATCGAAAATTTTACGTGAGTATTAAGTAGTACTACTGTATACACTCATAGTATGTATTAATTGCAATTTCTTTATTTTCCTTTACTACAAAGATGTTTCAGTTCGCTAGGTTGTGTCTTGCCTACCCATGCATTCAACATTTAGTTTATAAGCTTGTCCTATTTTCGAATCTCTGGATCTATGTTTATTTTCAATAGCCCGAAGCAGTTCCTAACTTGCTACACCTGCCTCATCACTGGGTGTCTGGGTATCCACCGCAAGTCTTTCCACTTATGAACCTCGCTGTTAACGTTAAGGCTATGCCATCATAAGTTGCTACTACATGCAAGGATCTTATTGAAGTCCAGAAATAGGAAAGTATAGATCAAAACGCCGACTCGACAAAATTTGGTGCTATCAAAGTGTCCACTAAGTTCACGGGCTCAAGATGAGCGGACTCGAACAGCTGACATCCGTCATAGAGTAAACCACCCCCTATCATGCCTCGCCAACGGGTTCTACCATAGAGTCCAATGATAGACAATAACTATGCCTTGCTGAACACGTCTTAATACTACGACTTCAGTTGTACTTTCTCTCCAAAGTGAAACTCCTCTCAAAATCTCAAGACAAAAGAGCTTAATTGGAATCCCATTCTAAGGATTCATGTGGTTCCGCAGAATCCAACAACACGAGAACCAAGAATGGTGAGATCTTCCAAGTGAGTTTGATTTAATGGTTTTAGTGTTTGTTCCTTCATTTGATCGGGTTATCAGCTTTGTTCTCCTATGAGATTGTGCAAATTTTGTATGTTAAATAATATACAACATCAACATGTTTCTTCCTTAACTGCACTGACATGATAGCAGTTTGCCTATGATACCGTTGTAAGATGCAACCATTGGCACGTGCAAATTTATTACATAGATTTTGGACCACTTTTCTTTTAAGATATGGGGTACAAGAATCAAGTGCGAGGCAATTTTTATCAAAACATTCTTTGCTCTGTAACCATTAGACAACTTCTTCAACCTAGTTTCTCAAAAAAAAAACTTCTTCAACCTCTCACTTCTATTAACCTTGGTGGCCACTAAGGGAGCTTTCCTCTTCTTTTTTCACATAAATGATAGGAATTGTGGAGTGAAAACCAATCTCCGTAACATTTTTTTTTGGAGGCTTCTGGAGTTCAAAACCCTTGGGTTGCATCTACGTAGGTAATACTAAGAGAACATACATGTGGAACTTTAACATGGTAAGCATGAGGGAGATGGAACACCTGTTAACAACAGATGATTCTTCCCCAATATCCTTAAGAATGTTCCATACTTTGGAAACAAGGAGAGTTTTTGTCCAGTTAAAATCTAAATGAGGAGGGAAACTAGCAAGCAATCTAAACCTGTTGATTCTCCTTTCTGGATAGGACTCGTGAGAGTCAAAGAGGAGTTCTTTAGTAAGATGGGGTTTTACTATTAGAAACGGTACTAGTACTGATTTTTGGGAAGATACGTGGTAAGGACGCAACAAATAAATGTTTCGGTTTCGACTGTTTTATCCGTAGTGACGTTGAATACTCAATTTCGTCGATGCCAAACAAACCTCACCAGTTAAACAGAACTTAACTGGTGATAAATGAACTGCTTGGTTACACTTAGTTAGTGGTTGACGATGATTCATCTTTCTGATGACCATTATAGGTTTGTTTGGAATCTGATAGCCTTAGGAACCTTTACTGTGAAACCTATGTGTGTGGACCTTATGAATGGCCATACTAGATTTTTACGTAAATACATGTGGAAACTAAAAGTATCATTGATGACTAAGATTTCATGTGGTTCTTACATGGGATGGTTTTGGTAAGAAAAATTGTAATGTGTCTGGAAAGTGTTGCTTTTGCGACTATGATGTATATATTGAGCATTTGCTCCTTGCATGTCCTTTTTCCTCATCTTGTTTGGAGGATAGTTCATACAAAATATAATTTACCTCCACCAACAAATATCACAAATATGTTTGGGAATTGGTGACATGGGGTTAGCAAAAACATAAATCTCAATTTCGTGTTGGACAGAATGACATTATTTTTAACAAGACTATGTACTGCATCCGTTTATGGTCCTATCTCATTCTTGTGGAGCAGCTGGAGCCTTTGGATATTTTTTGGAGATGTCTGGAGACGGTCGCACAAGATATCTTCAACCAGGGTGGATGGTGGTCCATTAATAGAATAGATGATACATAGGCACTTTATGTTTGTTCTATTCTGGCAGGTGATTTCTTTATCCACTTTATATGATCCATGAAGTATAATACTCTTGAGTTTATGTTGCAATAAAATGACCATGTGCATCGCTTTGATACAGAGCCCAGGATATGCCCCCTTTAAAAAATGCTTCAAGCGAGGCGGGGCACAACCACGGTTTTGGTTACCGGATGATATTTTTACTTGGGGGTAGTAGGGTGGAGGGTTGGTATTTATGATTACCACGGTTACCGGGAAATTACCGCCCAAAATATTCAAATGAAATTGGAATTCATTTTTTCAGAAACCTTAAATTAGCTTTAAAAATCCGACAGGGCATAACATTGGTGGTAACGCAGCGGTATGGCCCCTCTGTTCATCTACCCTCCTAATTATCTGGTTTTGTGTTCGAGACTTGGTGACCGGGGTGCTTAGGAAACATGATTACTGGAAGTAACCAGATTACATCCGAGTAACCCAAATCCTGGGCCCGGCACAACGCAAAAGCACACATGTGTACATCACCTTTGGGCAATTTCCTATCGATATTCAAACACTTGATGTATTAGTGGATGGTAGACTCTTAGATGGAGAGATTGGTTGGCTATATCATACGTTTTGGCATTCTGAAACTTTCATATTTTTGTGTTTGTTTTGCTATAAAATATCATCACAACATGAACCAGCAACCAGAAGACATGTTGTTATCCAAAGACGCGAGTTACGTCAAAGCTCGAAGAGTCTTGCATTGACAATCAATGTTGATTTGTTTTAAAACGTCCTAAATCTGGCCTCAAATGGAAAAGAGTGCTCAATATGAACTTTCTGCTCCTCATAGAGACGAACAATTTCGCTGTCTAGATCATTTCAACCAGAGATCATATGCGGCCTCTGAGCCAAACAAGGATTAGTGCAGAAGATGCAGTAGAGTTTTGAGGACTAATAGTATCTCCTCTGATTATATTAGTGGAAGAGATCTCACTATTTGGAGCGAGTTTCGGAGTAAGTTGGCATACCTCCACCCTGCAATCTTCTTTTCCTATGTGCTGAGTTATAATGTACCCTGGACCATGTGCCCATTCCTGGGTCAAGTAAGGTACTTAGTTGCAGCAAATTAATTAATCAAATGATTAGAGACTATTAAGAAAGTATATAAATTAAATAGACACGTACACGTCCGTACCTTGGAATAGCGGGATATCAAGAATGTGGCCTTGGCGAATCAGCAGCTGGCTGCTAGTGATATTATTGATCCTGAGCAGCGTTGACTCCCGCAGCCCATACTTGGCGGCGATCTGGGAGATATTGTCGCCTGCGCGGACGATCACATAGGCAAGGTGCATCACGTGGGAGCCGTCCACCTTGTCGCAGCTGCAGGGCAGCGGCCTCCGCCCATAGTATTTGCCCGCGGCAACGTTGTTGGCGGTGACGACCTCCATGAAGTAGTCATCGCCACGGCCGCCGGTGTACATATCCAGGTCCGACTGGCCCAGGCCGCCGGCGCAGCGGCACCTGAAGGGGATGCGCACGGCTGTTTTCGCGGGAATGGCTTGGCTGGTGTCGGTGTGGGGCGGGAGTTGGTTGGCGGCGAGGAGGTGGTGAAGGGTGGCGGTGGGGCTGAAGCGGGAAGCGAGTTGCTCGTAGGTGGTGGCGTTGGGGACGACGTAGGCGACGGCGGATCGGCATGTGCTCGGTTTGGCGCAGGTGAAGCTGGCGGCGGAGGCCGAGGAGGCTGCGGCCCAGAGCAGGAGGAGCAGGGCGGCCAGCGGCGGCATAGTTCACTCGCTGGCCAGCGTCCGACCACTACGAGAGAGGTACTCCGGGCGTGGCAGGAGGAGGAAGATTAATAATGCTAGGCCTTATCCCGGAACGGCCGCCGTGCATCTCTCACGTCGCCCTCCCATTCGACTCACATTCCTAGGCCTACCTAGTGTAGTACTACGTACAACAGAGACAAAACAAAACAAGAGCCAACATGCATGACCCGTGCCAAGACCGCAAGCCCTGATCCTTCGTTTGCTAGCTAGACCCGCCGGCCGTGTCAAGACCGCCAGCAAGCGCGTCCAGCCTCAGGCCTCAAACAAAACAAACCCTCTACTCGGGCGACGACTTTGCCGAGTGGTCACGTACCAAGCCGACATCTTATTGATGAACATTCCAAGTCATCACGCCGAGCGTAACAAGCGGACATCCTGGACAAGTCACAAACACCATCGTGGTCCTTCTCGAACCTTCAGGTACAGTCGTCCCTTATTTTTCCCCGGCGATGTTTGTTCAGGGCAGAGCTTGATGGTAACACATGGGAGACAAGTTCTATACAGGTTCAGGCCCTCAGAAAGAGCTAACACCGTGCTCATTTTTCTTCCAGCTCTTTAATTATTGTCTTCATATGCCGGGTGTGATCTCAAAAGGGGGCCCCTGACATCTCTAGGGTTTGTGGATTGTCCAATGAGTTGAGTCGTATCAATCTTGCTAACGTTCGCATATTGTCGTTGTTTTGTCTCGAACATATTGCATGTTAGGGCATTTCTAAACAATCCCTTATAACCCGTTAGAGGAGTAAAAATGCGGTTTCACTCCTCTAACCGGGACCTAACTGATCCCTTATCTGCCGTATGTGAGTAAAACTTTTACTTGCGCCCTAAATTTCTCCTATATTTACTCCACCGCTGGGCGGCTGAATAAATGCCGCATCTCTCCTACACTGCCTCCCCCTCCCGTCCCGCGCCGCATCTGAGCCGGCCCCACCCCTCCCACTGCACATGGAAGTGTTTTTTTTTGGGAGCGACTACGTGTAAGTCGACTGATTCTTATTTTTGGGTCAGTCGACAAACAACACTTGTGTATAGTAGCCGGTTCATTCCAGCCTGATTCGCTATGCATGCACACATTTCACACGCGTGCATGATATGCATGCATGTATCTATGCATGCATGTACGCATAATGCATTCTGCATGCATATGCATGGACACATGATACAATTGTCCTCCTTTTCATCCAAACTATTTTGTGGTACGTAATAATTGTATGCTTGGAATTTCGCAAAAAAAATGTATCCTTGGATGCTCCTTTGTATGCCTGCTCTTGTCGTTGAGCCGAGGAGTCAAGCAAGTTGCACTCCTACACCATCAACCGTACACCTCACCACCACCACCCCCTCAGAAACAAAATAAATAATGATAAAACTTGCACACGATATGTAAGGAAATTTTGTTTTTTTTACAATATGCAAGAATAAATATATGTTAGTGGAACTTTTGCAAAAAAGATGTTTTCTCAGAAGAAATGAATTAGTGGAGGTAATAATGCCCTTAAAGAAGAAACAAAAACATAGAAGCAAAAAAATCATAATAATGAAGTATTCTCAGCTAAAATGAATCATTGACCTTTAATACTACCCTTGAAGAAGAAAGAAAATAAATAAATAAACTGAACATTGGCAGTACCCTTTCAGAAGAAAGGCAGTATAAAACAAGCAATGGCAAACTTGGCACGCAATTTACACAGAAATTGCGCTTTGTTATAATATACAAAAATAAAGTTATTACCTTAAAGAAACAAAATAAAATAAAATAGAAATTAAAATGAAAACAAAATAATGATTTTTTGTAGGGAAGAATAAAACCCTTTAAGAAGAAAGAACAAAATGAATTTCCTAGGAAAGATTGAAACCCTTTAAGAAGAAATAAAATAAAAAAACAAAATAATGAAGTTTCCAACGGAAGAATGAAACACTTTAAGCAGAAAGAAAATAAAAAACGAAAACAAAATAGTGAAGTTTTCTATGGAAGAATGAAATCCTTTAAGAAAACAAATTACAAAAACTGAAACTAAAACAGAATAATGAAGTTTTCTATGTAAGAATGAAACCCTTTAAGAAGAAAGAAAATATAAAAACCTAACTTGCACACAAGTATGCCCTAAAATTGCAGTTTTCTAATATGGCAAAAGTAAGTGTATACAATGCAATTTTTGCTTCTACTATAATTTACACACACGGTGTATCATACTTGCGTGTATACTTACTTACAAACACAAAAATAAAAATAATTTTTTTCTAAGAAGAAATGAAGTATAGTGGCATTGGTACCACCCTTTAAAAAGAAAGGAACTAACAAAATGATAGAATTTGCACATAATTTAAACATAAATTCTAATTTTTTAGTTATGTAAGAATAAACACATTATAGTGAGTTTTACATAGAAATGAAATTTTTAGACAAGGAATGAATAAGTGGCATTGGTATCGTCCTTAAAAACAGGAAATGAATTAAGAACTAAACATAATAAAAGAAATAAATTTTCTAAGAGAGAATAAATTAGTGACATTGGTATTACTCTTAAGAAGAAAGAGATTAAAGAAAAAACTTGCACACAACTTTGCACTGAAATTGCATTTTTTATAATATGCAGCGAATACACACATTATAATGCAACTTTAGCAGTCTAGTATAATTTACACACATATTGTATAGTACTTTCATGCATAGATACACATAACAATAGAAAAATGTATTTAATTAGCAAAAAATAGCACAAAACAATTAGCATTGGTATTACCCTTAAAGAATATATGAAATGAAAAAAAAAACAAAATTTTCCACACAATTAGCACAAAAAATACACTTTTATGATATGTAGAATAAATATATAAGAGTGAAGTCTTCATACTCTAATGTATTTGTACATGTAGTACTTGCATCTATACATTTTCACGCACTCAACATCTGAAAACACACGTAAAAAAACTCAACTGAAAAATAAAAAATTAAAGCATACACGCGCAGAAAACAAAAGCAAACACATGAAAAAAAGCATGCGCCCACCAAAATCCAGCCCAAGAAGGAAATCGACTGACCCAAATAGGAATCGAATCCAAACAGCTCAATACCACCAGCAAAACATGGCAGAAAAAAGAAAAGCTAGACAAATCTTAAAGCACAATCCAAGGGCCAGAAAATCGGTTGACCACAAAACAAAAATTCATCTGACTGAAATCTAGCTAAAGTTGTTTTTTTTCTTTTTGAAACCTGTACGTGGAAGTGTTGACAATGATGAATTTCAGTTCACAAATAGTATTAGTGGATTCGGTGTCACACTCGTTCAGGAACGGAAGTACCTTTGTTCGATTGTCAAGTTGAGAGACGACATATGTGAGACCCTTAGGCAGAGTAGAGGGCTTAGGCCTTGGGATATCTCCAACGAGTCGACGTAAACGGTCACCGATTTGATCCCTTTTTGTCTTGGATCGAGCCTTTGTGCGGGTCAGGCCCCGTCCGTGTTTTGCTGATCAGTGCGCCCAATCGGCCGACGGACTTCGTCCGCGCGGCCCATATGCGGCCATATTTGAACACAAGTTTTGCATACAAATATGAACATTGCCCAAAGTCTAAATCACATAGTTTTCAAGCAAATATAAATCTCATAGGTTGCAAACCACGTGAAAAAAGACCACTAACGCCCGCAAGAGCGGCCATCGGGTGCGGTGTGCAACTGGGGGAGGTGTGTGGGTGCAAGCGGCAGCCTGGGTAGCGTTCAACCGTCAGCGATGATGGCGGGGTGGCCGGGTGTCTCGGTTGTGGATGGGAAAGGGGGAGAATGGCCGATGTACCCCGGCGGGCGGGCTACGGGGAAGACAAAGACGGACGTCACACGCGGCCGTGCCGTGTCCGCGCCGGTGCAAAGCCGTTCCAAATTTGGACCGAAAATGGGTCACGGGTGAACAAAAAGTGGACACTCGTCCATTGGCGTCAGCATGTTGGGCCGATATTTCTGTCTGTTTCGACCCAAAGGGATGTGCGAGGACAAAATGTGCCGATGCATTGGATTTGCCCTTACACACGTCACACACCAAATCTAAATCTTCCCACGCATTCCCATACTTCTTTTCTTGTGTTGTTAGGGCATCTCCAAAGCTGACCTGCAAATGTCTCCGGTATTTGTCTATTTTTATATCCCGACAAGATCCGCATATATGATGCGGGAGGGAGGCATCCAATGGGAGGAGAAAAACTAGATGGGGGCCATGCATGTGGTGAGATATTTGTAGTTTATTGTCCGCATGGCATGAGAGAGGGGGAGGGGGACCATGCATGTGCGCTTAGGTGGAGAGAGAGAGAAGAGAGGGACCATGCTTGTAATTACTCAAGTACTTGTCTGGACTCCGGCATAGCTCCCCATGTTTGTCTCTTGGATAACGATCGGTACGTCCAGATTGCTAAGAGGACATATACAGGTTCTCGTTACATGGCAAAAGTGGTTCAGAGACAGTAGTTCGAACATATAGCGAAGATTTGAGGGTCCGCTTTGGACATGCCTTACAAGACAATGCAATTCAAAGAAAATTGAGTTGGAAAATCAAAGAACAAAGAACAAGTACGAAGGAAAGAAAATGGTTCGCATAGAGGGAGCTTGAGGGAACTCCGAAGTGGGCAGGCCCAAGAGGGAGTGCCAATTGAGTAAGCTCAACAATTTGATGCACAAGGAGAACCAAAATAGGGGAGCACTTATGCCTCGCTTTTAGCGAGACCATAGAAGGTCTCGCTAAAGGACCGCCCACCCAACAGCAAATAATGGGCCTGTCCAAATTTTAGGTTAGTTTCATTTTTCCATGTTTCTTCATTCTTTTTTACTTTAATTTATATATTTCATATATATTAAAAATGTATCTATTCCTAAAACTAATTTACTTCAAAAAATAAAATTTGAAAATTGTTAATGCAGTGTAAATATTCTGATAGCATAACTTATAAAAAAATGTCCCCGGTGTTTAAT